ATAGGTTATACAAATTTTTGTGTTTATTGCGATGGGATTTAAAATGTAAATAACAACACAACTTAGCTTATAAGTTGATGCAAGCATGATATTGCAGTAATATAACAAAATAGTCGAAAGTATCCTTGATTGGAACTATGAAATTTTTCTTACTTAATCAGCGATAAAATCAAAAGTTTGTGTTACTTAGTAACAACCATAAAATTTAAAAAAACACATTATTCATTACTTTTTAATCAATAAAATAAAAGAACGTCTTAAAAGTTAAAGCTTTTATACAACTATTTATTTGTGAAATTTCAGTTTTTCAGGGTAATATTATTCCTATTATAAGTTTTGAATGTACTGTTGAAATTGTCATGCAAAAATAATCTTTAATTAGTTTTTGTTGATTTTACTGTTTTTTTTTTTTTTTAAAAAAGAAACAACATGCTCCGATTAAGGAACCAAAGTGTTTCAATTTAGGAAACCGGTAGCCTTAATTGGAACAAAATGGTATCTTGCAAAAAAGAATTTATTTTCAATAACAGTGCATTCAATTAAGTCAAAATATGGTTAAAAGTATAGTAGGGTTGTCTGTTTGTTTTAATCAAATCATAAATGTTTTTATAGTTAGGCCATCTTCGGTTGGTAAATATTTGTTTTTCAAGTGTTCCAATTAAGGCAACTCTCCCTTAATAATTAACAATCGAACAAATCAAAAATCTATATCATTTTTGCGTTGCTATGGAACTGAGACAATTGACTACTTTAGAAAAGCGACAACACAATATAGTGCTGTGTTGTAGCATATATTAATTCGCACAATAAAAACTTGAATAACCAATTCTAAGAAATGGCATTATCTCGCGGGTAGAGTTACACTTTACTAAACTACTACGAAGCAATGGCTATGACACTGAATTTTACTTTTTTGTAAACACGAGTTAATATATTTAAAAAAATAATAATAACTCTTGGAAATCACTAAACTGAATGGAAATTTCTTACTGACTTTTATTAATTATTACAAGAAATTCCCATTATGCCCAATGGATACGAAAACATTTATAAAAGTATAATTATACATTTACACACATTTTCAATACAAATATGTCCACGAAAATATTGATAAAAGTACACACACAATTATACATATACAAATATGTCCACGAAAATATTGATAAAAGTACACACACAATTACACATATACAAATATGTCCTCGAAAATATTGATAAAAGTACACACACAATTATACATATACAAAGTACAAGTATACATTTATACACAAGTTTATGCATTTAAATATTTTACATTAAAATCTTGCAAAATATTTCGTTAATATTTCGTCAATATAAGCGAACCCATCGGGGGTAACTGCCCATAGTTTAAAAAACTTTGCTCTAAACTATTTAATAATGGCATTAGTTTAAAGTAACTTCCAAGGTACAACAACTTCCCCTATACCCTGGATTAACTCAAAATTACTATAGTTCCTTATGTTTTAGTGTATTTATTTCTCTTAGAAAAACGTAATATCTTATGACTTCTTTTGGTGTAGGCAGTTCAGTTTTTCAGAATATTAATTTACCAAACTTTCCAACATTTTTGTGTACGAAGGATGCGGATAAATTATTTACTAGTTATAAACACTGCATCAAACGTTTACTTTGCATACAAAAGTTACTCTGCGATTCAATTACAGACGATAAGCAACAACATTATTTTGTAAAATGGCAATGTCCCATTTCACCCCGACACAAATGTCAATTTGTGTCGGGGTGAAATCGGACAACGCTTGTGATAAAATAGGACAAGTTAGAAACAAATAATTTTGAGCATTACTTTATTCTGTCTATTCTACTTCTTGTATTCTTGTACATACAAATACACAAAATATATTTATGTTTATATCACTCTAAAAAGTCGCTTGATGTTTATATCATTCTAAAAAGTCGCTTAATGTCATAATTACATTGTTGTCTCAGAAGGTCATAATTACATTGGTCATAATTACTCATAAAGTCATAATTACATTGTTGTCTCAGAAGGCAACTTTTTTGATTTTGTCATATTTTTGTCTTCCTTTTTCTTTTACATCTTGATAAATTTTCAACTAGTTCATCTCTTGTTGGTTTTGTTAGTCAATACCCGGGACTTGAAACATTTTTATTTTGCACTTTTTATATTTGCCACCCTCTCACCAGCTTTTGAAAATGATTTTATTTCTGATTATAATAGTTTTATTATATTATAATTTTCTTAAATATATTTGGATAGTTTTTTCAATTGAACTTTTTATCGCTTTTTTTAAAGGTTTTTATCTATATATAAAAAAAATATAAAGATCCTTAAAATCAAAAAGATCCTTAAAGTCTTTTTCAAGTTTACTAAAAATGAAATTATTGTGGTTTAGACCACTTTTCTGCTGAGCCCCTCATATACTGTAATCTATTATCTATTTAAATATTAAATCAATTAAAAAATTTTTGGTCTTAAAAATGGAAAAACAAAATATAA